CAATAAACCTTTCATTTCAGAGAGAAAGAATGAAAAAAGTAAAGAGCCTACCACCTAAATTAAATGAGCTGTGTGAAAAATCTGACATTTCAGTAAGGTATTTTTTGTTAACATTCTTTAACATTGGTCTTTCCTTCATGAAATTACAACATTAATTAATCAGAACTGAAAATGATGTCATGCCAAGCCTGAACAACATGTGGTAACAAAACACAAAACGCCCCTAAAAGTCTGAGCTCAACAATAACAGTAACAGTTTGTTGCTGACCTAAACGTGCACGGTGGGGTCTCATTATGATGCCTCCTCTACTAAAAACCCTCTCAACTGGTGCAGATGATGCGGGAACTGGCAGCACCTTCAGTGCCAAGTTGTGGAGTTGTGGGAATCTGTCTTGGTTTTTGTACCAGAAGACAAGTGCATTATCACTGTCAGTGTCCTGTATGGCATCAAAGTATTTGCTTATCTGTGTTCTGACGCTTAAACCCTGGCCTGAGCTGCGCTTTTTGTGAGCTTTGTAGCGAGTAAGAAGGCGTGGGCATTTGACTGGAGGTAAATCACTGGATGGATCTCCATCTGTGGCTCCACGCTCTTCACCTTCGCTGTCCATCAAGTTCTCAACCTCAGAGATCAAAGTGTCTGAAAATACAAGCACATGAAAGAAAATTACTGAATTAGATAGAAAGACACATAGTGATACAGTGTCAGCAGGTATCAAATAATTAACTCCTCTAACAATATGTTGTTTAGAACAAGCATATTCCCTAAAGGTAAATTACAAAGACGGTATCAGAGTTTTACAATATGAAATTAAAACCTAATAAATTCCACTACAAGGCTAATTCAGAATTTTTCTCTCGATATAAAATGTAAGTGTGTATACCTGTCAGTGTTTTCTTTAGATCTTCTCTGAAGTTCTTGATTGATGTTGCATTTTGCCCATTTGTAACATCCAGATCCACTCAGCATTGTGGCCAAAAAGTACACATTGTGGCTGAAAGGTTCCTCTCCCCCACTGTCTTTGGTCATGTCTGTTTTGGCAAAGATTCCACTGAATCTTCTCATCAGAGACTGACGAAGGGCCTTTACTATTGGCCGACACTGTATTCGTGTCTCCTCCATCTTCACAAGATGTGTATGCAAGTCCAGAACAGTCGATACCACCATGCTAATGGTAACTGCTTTCTCTCCCTCTGTCAGGTCTGTTGCCTCTGAGAATGGTGGGAGAATTGAAGTCAATTCTTTAAGCTGGTTCCACTCACGAGTGCTGAATACCACTTCTTCATAATCCTTGCTACACATTTCAGTCAGAGCTTTATGGTCCAGAGCTGTGAGGGCCTTCACTTGTTTGAAAGTGCTATTCCAGCGAGTGTTGTTTGCAGTTGGAATAGTCTTAGTAGAGTCAAATGCAGCCTCAAACTTGTCTTTGAACTGTGAGCTGCTGTCAAAGTCCAAGTCGAAGTCAGCTTTATTGTCAATTACT